CTGATTGGAGGCAGGGTTATCGGAGCTTAGCGAGGTAGCTGTCAGTCGCAGCACCGCTTTTCTCCCTTTTCGTTCATCAGTCCTGTTTTGTATATGTCAGACCTTGTAGTTGTATTTCTACTCTAATAGATGCTCATGACTAGTGACACCCCGATGTCGGGCTGTGTTTGGGTTGTACTTCCGCATTGTTGTGATATTATCTGCTGTTTAGCATTATTAAATCATATTTTAGCATGTTTTATTGCTGTTTAGTTGTTTAACTTCGAATTGGATATGTGTCGGCTGGCCTTGTCTTCACGAGAGGCGCCATCACGACCGGGTTTAGGGTCGTGACATTTTTGCTTGTATACATATTTCACATTTTTTCACATTATCATGCTTGCAAGAAATATATCCATTTTTGGACATATAATTTAAAGGACCAAAATTTAAATGTCCTAATCTAGCATGCCATAAATAAGAATTGGACTCAACAATATAAGCAGAAACATAGTTTAATGCATTAATACTAAGTTTGAACATGCCATCACAAGTGTAGCCCTTTCCAACAAATAAACTATTTTAGATACTATTACATGATCAGATTCTATGATTATCTTGAAGCCTCTCTTAGACAATAAACTAGCAGACATCAAGTTCTTCTTCATGTCGGAAACATGGTACACATTTAGCAATGTTAACTTCTGCCCAGAAGTGAAATTGATCTCAACACTTCCTTTTCCTTCAACATCTGCAGTCATATGATTTCCCATGAGAACCTTCTCGGGTTCCTTCACTTCTGCATAAGTCTTGAACATATTCTTCTCATAACAGACATGAACGGTGGCACCCGAATCCAACCACCAGTCTTGACTCTTAACAGCAGCAACAACCATGTTTAATTCTGTAACCATATTACATGGCACTACAGAAACCATTGCAACCAAGCCTTGTGAAGAACTTTCAACTGTGTTTGCTTTTGCTTTCTCAGACCTTCCCGAGTTTCCCGAATTTCCATGGTTAAAGTTAATTCCTGCTTTCTTAAACCTGCAATCACGGATCTTGTGGCTTTTCTTTCCACAATGATGACATTTCAAAGTATTCCTCTTTTTAAATTGAGGCTTATTTGAAACTTTCAGATTTTTGTTTCCATCTCTGTTATTATTCTGACTAACATTATTAACTGTGGAACTCGAAGATTGCATAAAAGTATCACGAATTCGATTCTCACTTTCAATTTGAATGTGAGTTCGAAACTGTTCCACAGTCAATTTCTCAGAAGAATGCAGGATCTTCTTTCTATAGTCATTCCAAGAAGAAGGCAATTTAGAAAGTATAGCACCGATTTGAAGTGCATAAGGAATTTTAACTTCAGGATCAGTTAGTTTTGAAACTAAGATTTGCAGTTCATGAATCCGATCCATGATGGGCTTTGTATCAACCATTTTAAATTCGAAATACTTTAAAGATAGAAATTTATCAATACCTCATTTCTCGTTTTCATAAGCACTTTGCAATGCCGTCCAGATTTCCCTTGGAGACTTCAAATTTTGATACAGATCATAGAGACGATTTCAGAATATGTCCCCGACACAGCAGTTCATCATCTTCCCGTTTCTTCCTCGTTGCTTTCACTTTATCAGAATCTTCTGCAGTGGGTTCTGGCAAAGCAGGCAATTACGGATCAAGAACATAAAAATCTTCAGCAGTCAGTAGGAAAATCATCTTGTCCTTCCAGCGAGTAAAGTTTGATCCATCAAAACGCTCGAGTTTGATGAACTCTTTTGGATTTTCAACAGCGGTCAGAATGTTCTCCATAACATATTATCTTCTTTAAGATTGTTAGAAAATAATAATCGAAAACAAAATTGAAGAAGGCTTGATGCGTGAGAACGACTTTTCTTAAATATATTGCCCGTATACAAATTGGGGAAATACAACAATCTTCAATAAGCCAAGAATATACTTGCAGATTTTTGTATATCCACTTTGTTGGAAGAACTTCTATTTATAGAGCAACCATCGGACCTTTTAAAAAAAGATGTGTTCTTTCACAAACAGAGGCATCTGTTTATTCAAATATATTTAAAATTTAAATTTCAAATAAAACAGATTTAATTGTAGAAATAAATGAAAAATAAATTCTTTATTTTAGGTCCGACCCGCCCGCGCCCAAGCCCAAGCCCAAGTCTTTGATATTAATATATATAACATATAATATATATGTATTTGCACACATATAAGAATATGTGTTCTAAATTAAGCACATAAAAAGAACAAGGACTTAAAAGGCACACAAAATGGCATTGCACCACCGATGTGGGAGAAGTCCCACTTTTCCATCTTATATAACAAACTATCTTTCAGAACTGGTATAAGAGCCAATAGTTTGGCGGGACGAGTATGGAGATGGCGGAGTGATGGCATAGGGCACGGCTTAATGCCTTTGCCCGTCTATGGACGTGTTTACTACCTTTACCCGTAGCTTCAAAGACGCATACAAAGCCTGTCCTTGGGCTTCGATGACCGTAAATACTTGGATCATGTGGGTGGCACACAGTTAATCTCCAAGTTAGCCCATTAATGGTGATGGGTCATGTGGAACTTAGTTCAAAGGGGGGAGATTGTTGGGTGTATGTGCACAAAGTCCCACATGAAAAGTAGAAAAGAAAAATAAGCTACTAAGGAGGTGGATACTTTTACTGGTGTGAGGCCTTTTGAGAAAAATCGTGCAGGCTTGGCCAAAAGCGGATAATATCGCACCATGTTAACAGTATTTTTGGGTTGTTTTAGCCCAAGAGAATGGTGACTTATTTATCCAAAAGAATCTGGATTGAATGCCACTTAGTACTTCTTTTTTCTTGCTTTTTTAATGATATATCAATATTATAAAAATTCTAGAATGGGCTTTGAATAGAGAGATTGACAAAAGAGAAATTATATAGCCCCTAAGTTACATATCGTTTGCATCCATGTGATAAACATGTGTTTGTCATCTTTGATTACTTTCTTCTTATTGATTTCTATTCACTTGCAATAGACAATATTGTAGGCCCTGAAGTCTATCTACTTTACTAAAAAAGAAGAAAGAAGAAAACTTTTAGGTCATCACGATAATGATATCATCTTTTACTACATCAGCTCAATTTGTCAGTTTTTTATTGTTAAGGGGCTGACTAGTGACAATTTATTAATCTCTTTCCAAATATAAATCCTTTTAACTTATAGAAGTAAAATAAAAATTCGATTAGTTTAAGTTGTACTTGCCATATATTCAAGGCAGAATGACCTAAATGGCACCTATACTTGTGTCACTTTGTCATGCCGGTCTCTAAACTTAACAATTTGCCAATTGAACACTTATACTCATTCAAACCGTGTATAACAAACGCTTATGATAGGAAGCTGTCAAGACGTGTAATACAATGTCCTACACGTAGGACACCACGTCAAGAAAATTAAACCACTTAGGCTCTGGGTCATTTATTATGGACACATAGAAAAATAAAATGGGAAATGATTATTAACCTCCTCCCCCCACAACCCCCCTCCCCCCTCCCCAAACAATTCTTCATCTGTTCTTCATCTTTCAAGCTTAACCCAGCACCTTTCATGGCTTCTCCCACAATGAGCAATCATACTGTCTCTTTTTTTCTTCCTACAATTCCTATAAAACCCATTACGAAATGCACAAAATCGGATCATGATTTTCCCAAGCATAAAACTCTTCTTGGGAGCTCGAACGCAGATAAACTCACCTCCACCTCAGAATCCGGTGACTGTTGCTTTACTCCCTATCTCCGTCGTTTCTCTTCTTCATCTTCCCTTCCCCCCAGTTTTATTTTCTCTAACTGTTTGTTTGTTTTTTACAGGTCTGGACCCAGCCGAATAAATTAGATCTGGCCGGAAATATAACTTTTCCGGGACCTTCGTTCCACCACAACACTGGCCGGCGACTTCCGCTCTTTCTTGTTATTAGACCCCAAATAAACTTAGGCGAACTACTCTTGGCAAAACATTTGGCTGGAATTTGATTTCGCTTGAATACTTGCTCTTCCTTCTAATTCTGATATTTTTGTATTACTCGAACAGTAGTTCACAAATTTGTTCTTTGTGCAGAGCTGGGGAATGAAAAAAATTTCACTTTGGTTTCACATTTTTTTTAATTTTAGTATTTTCTTTTTTTAATCAAACCCAGTGTATTCACGCGCTTTTAAAAGCGTGCACTACTGAAAAATTGGTCTACGGTAACGGTTGCAAAACCGTTCCCACAGACTACCAAACCGTTGCCATAGGGATATTGGAACGGTTTAAAGACCGTCACATCAGCTGGCGTACCCATAGGCCTACTGGAACGGTTCTTGCAACGGTTTGCCTCGCCGTGACAATAGATACGTCTATTGCAACGGTTTTCCCTTTCTCTGTTGGAACGGTTATTTTTTTCAATTGGAACGGTTTAAAACCGTTACTGTATTGTTTATACAACGGTTTTTAACCGTTACCATATTATTTAAAGCAACACATATGTAAGCTATTGCTACGGTTATGTTGGATATAGCCACGGTTTCTTTAGGCTATCGTAACGGTTATATTTGTATTTGGAACAGTTCATGGGACCTATTGCAACGGCTTACATTGTCTACTGGAACGCCATTCGTGTCCTATTGCAACGGTTCAGGTAGGTCATTGTATCAGTTCAGTTAAAACCAAAATATAGCACCTGTTATAAATAAATATTTATACATATAATAAATTATAATAACACTAAAATTTAAATACATCATAAAATGAAACTATTAATAATACAAAATTATCCATCAAGCAACTAATATCCATAAAGCAAATGTTCTACACCATGAATGCATAAGTTTAGTACATTTCAAGAGAGTAAATAAGTTTCAAAAATGTTGGTAACAAAAGATTCCTAGAACATTCATCTATAACAATACAAAATTCATTTCAAGTAAGGTCTAGTTCTTCATCGTCTTCATCATCCATTTCTTGATCTACTCCACCTACAAAAGAGGATAAGTAAAGTTATTACGAAAATGAACCTTGCGCAGAGAAGTAAATAACTAAATACAAAAGAAGTGAACCAAGTAGTCTCAAAATCTATGTTCATATAAACCACTCTGTGAGGGGAAACCTGCATCATCAACCACAACCCATAAAAGAAATGCAGTCAGATGTAAATTCTTCAACTCATTCCCTCCCAGAGAGCACCATCCCACATCCAAACAATCCCACACACACAACTTCAGAGCATGTATTCATGTTATGCACACATGTAATGGATACACATGGTGGATGCTAAAACAGGAGAAAAATCAAACATTTTCCTAAGTTAAGTGCCGTTGAATCAATTGAATAAACACCACATGTCCACAATTTTAAAACACATCCAAGAAAAAGCAAAATATATATCATATTCAACAAAATGGCCCCAAAAACTGCAGGTACAAGCATTCCAGTTGTAAAGGATCCCACAAAATCGTTATGGTAGATCTTCATTTGCTAGTTAAGCTAGAAAAAGATATCAAATACAAACGAAAATAAATATTAGCTACCATTTAGCTAATGCTTGGAAGCTGACAGTTTATATTTGTTGTAGCATTCTTTCTTTTTCCATCTTTGTTCTTCTGAGAACGGTGGTGTCTAAGTCAAGTTGCACGTTCGCTCCTATACCTCCTTTTGTTTTAAAAAGGAGTACGCCATATCAGTGTAACAAATTTACTCTTTTCTATTGCTTGGTTTCTGGAGGAAGAAAAGAGATTTCGCCAATTACAGAGTAGGGAAGTTAATGTCACTTTTATTTACCCCCTCTTAATTTATGAGATTTCTTGATATATGTGAGACAACAAGAGAGCTGGTGTCACAGTTTAAAGAAAATGTTAAAGATGTTCAGTCCTTACTAAGAAGGAGAAAAGGAGATTTTAGCATCACTAACTACACTTCGTTTAGGAAGAAGATGAAGAAAGATGCCAAAAACTTAGTTACAATTTTAAAGAAAATGGATCATGAGGTGGTTGATGTAATGGAGGTTGATCAACTTGTCTCAGCTGTTATCGGAGTGCTAAGAGAAGTTAGTACAATGGGAATTTCAGTATTCCAAATGGTGTTGGTTTTCTTGTCAGCTCCAGTTTCTAAGCCAATTAACAAATGGTCTTTGGTTTCAAGATTGGTGAACAAGGGAGATCAAGACAATGTAAATGAGATAGAAAGTGCTGATTTTGCATTAAACAGCCTTTTCAAGTGTGGCTCAAGTGAGGTGGAGAAAATCCAGTTTGCGCAGAATAGATTGGAAAATCTGGAAGCTCATTTTGAATGCATTGATTTCAGTACTATAAATCTATCCTATTAGCATAAATCTTAAGGGATTCAATGGATTAAACTTCAAGTTTAACTAGAGACTACATGTACTTAACTGATCCGCACAGCCAAATCAAGTTTAAGTATTAAAGAATACCTTTAGTTCCTAGATGCCATATCGCAAACCAAAGGGATATCTCCTAGTATGTGCCAGGTAAAATGTTTTTGAGAGAACACAAAACTAAAAGCACCGAAATAAGGGAAGCAGCACGCAGACAAAGATTTTAAAGAGTTGCTTATATCAACTCAGCAGTGATTGATGTTATATGCAAAATCCCAAGCAAGGAAGGAGGAGAAGATGAAATAGAAGAAGATGTATAACATTTGGTACGTACTGACCTTGAGTGTTCTTACCAGCAGATGGTCGATTGTTTGGTTGAACAGCAGCTTGTTGTGCAGAAGAAGCATCTACAGGTGAACGTGCACTGAACCTTAACATGTCAGGATCAAGTCGCAAATCTGGGTTCAGACGCTGAAGTCGTGCGATGACGTTCACTGTAATATTTTGTTCCATAGCATCCTTTTGTTCGTTCAACTTTTCATGCATTCTTTGTTGCATCCTCTCTTCCATTTCCTCTATTTTCTGCTTCATCCTCTCATCAGCATCTAATGAAGATCCAAGATTCCCTTTTTGCCCTTTAAGTACACCATGAAAGTTTTCTGGCAGTGACATTAATGGTTTTCCATCAGAAGATCCCTTCATCGCCATGGCCAAAGAATAGCCTAGAGCTCGGGCTACTGGGACAGCAACTGCATTACCTACTTGGATGTACCTAAGTAATATAAAACAGCCAAAAGCATGTCACAGCAAGCAAGGAAAATGATGTTTCAAGTACAAATGAACTAGTTTACTATCTCCATTCATCAGCAGCTTCTTTTGGAGAATAATTTGTAGATTCCAAAGTAAAGGCCGGTATAACCTAAATTTAAGCACCATGGCCTTCATAAAAGCCTCCAGATACCAGCAGCTCATTAATACTATTAGGAAATCTATGGCTCTGGCATGTTTCCGTATTCGTGCATCGGTTTAAGCTCAAGCCAGATAGTATTCCAAGTGAGCATAAAAACATATCAGCTTAGGTGCCAGCGTTATAGGTGATATGGAGCATAGGATGGGATTACTGAAAGAACTATTAAAAAGAACTCAGATCTTTAACCATCCATTACATTAGGGTTAAAGTGATACCTTTCTTTGATTGGCCCTGTCAATTTATAGTAGTCAGGGAAACCATGGAGCCTTGCATTTTCACGAATTGTAAGCACTCTATTCTGTTGTGGATGTATTATGGTCTGGAAAGAATAACAATGGCATCAGGATGAAACAAAACGCAAAATTCTATGGTTTGAGTCTTTGAGATAAGATGGGAAAGTTAAAAAGCTACCTGATTATGGGGTTCAGCTCGCGTCACTACTGTTGGGACAGTTTCATCCCACCACAGACGACCAAATGGCCTGCATGATTTCACACGATGAAAATCAGTACAAATATTATGTAAAAGCAGATACAAATGCAAAGAAAATACCAAATAAGAAAGAAGGAAAAAAGGTGTATCCTTACTTTGTGGAACTACCACCAACAAAGCTCATAGCATAGTCAGGAACCTGTTGATGTTAAGCATCATAAGATCCAGAAAACAAACAACAAATAACTGTATCGCTCGAATCAAATCATACCAAAGGCTTCCCTGAAGGAAGTTTTACTCTCTCCACATCTGGATCCCATTCAACTTTATTATCAGAACGAACACGAACTCCAGGCAAGTCTCTGAAGTTTGCACCCTACAATCATAGGTCAATAATTCAGCACTGTGAGGAGCTCATCACATAAGTACCACAAATGGTCAGACAGAAACAATTTGTATACCTTCCGCTTGGGAAGTTGACAAACACGCTGATAATCATCATCATTCAACTGCAGAGGACGATGATCATATATAACACTTCCCAGCGCCCCTAAGATATAGCAGAATCAAAATTTAAAAGCAGTTAAACCACTGTTTGATGTAATTGAATGACTGGACTGCATTAGCAAAATATTCATTAATGCAGAACCCACTTTCAGCCCAACCTTAATTGGTACATGAAACCTCTCAAATGGAATTGGTGTTTTAACTGACACCCCTTAGGGGACCAAGGGGTTAAACTATGAGGTGTAACACATGCAAAAAAAAAATGGAACAAAACAGATTTACATTAAGCTACAAGCAAAATATGTGGACTCACCATCCCTCCCGAATCATAGGTCATGGCGATAAAAGTGGATTTTGTGCATGGTGTACTTAATGGAGTCAGTTATTGCATAAATGTGCTACTCATGTAGGAAAGAATTCAATTAATAGGAGTATTATTCTTTTATTGAAAATATCCAACAATGGACACAAAAAATAAAACCAATGTACAAGTGCCAAAATTAATTATGTAAACTTATTTTGGGTTCAATATTTAATAAAACATGTCTATTGTAAACTCAATACCTGGATAAAATATTGGAGGATTAGATTGTTATTGACACCAATACAATGATCTGACTCACAAATTAGCAAGCAGATAAACCACACAAACTGCCTACTATTTAGATTGCTCAATCACACATCACATTTATCCATGTATAGCATCATACAACAGATCAATGACTCGTGTTCTCAACATTGTTTAACTAAAAGCATCAACCCTATTAGAGTAGATTAATTGCTCTTTTCCATGAAAAGGCATCTAAAGGAACATTAACCCCTAGCATGCAACTTTGTTATCTCTAAATCCCAGCAAGCAATCTGATCACTAACAGCCAGAGCTTATGCACATATAGTCTGACTAACCAAACGAAACATTACATCAAATAGACAAAACAGGCAGAAAAAGTATACCAACCATTAGGAACAACTTTATGCTTTTAATTCTAGAGAACACACACACACACACACATACCATGGACAAACTTAGACCCCCAAAACTGAGTTGCTTGAATTAACACACAGACACACCATAGACAAACAATGCAATATTTTTTTTTGATAACCGTGGTGTCCAAGCCAACTTGTGCACACCTCGACTAATTCCACGGGATATCTGCTACCTCCCACCATCACAGGTAGCGCGTAACTATGTCCACCAAGGGTTAGATAGATGGAAGAAATCATCTAGTATTTTTGCTTCCGGTGGGATTTGAGCAAACAATGCAATATTACATTACATCAAATAGAACAAAACATGCAGAAATTGGATATCAACCACTACCAACAACATAAAGATTTCAACTTTACACATTTCAAGTCATTAACAAACACACACACCAAACAAAATTAGAAGCCCTAAATGAATTACTTGAATTCTTGGGTTCCCGTTCTTTAGGTTTCCAAAAATCTTCAAATTTCATGTTTTTTTGGGCGAATGAGAAGAAAAGAGAAGGAGTGAAGAATACCTAGATTTCTCGCGATTGAAATATTTTCTTCACCTGTAATCCCTGTTCTTCAGATCCTTCGAGCGAAACAAATGGAGTTTGGGACTTTGGGAGTTTTGGGTTACCAGTCGAGATTTGGGTATTTTTGGTTAACAAATGGATTTGGGGATTTGTTAATTTAGGAGATGGGTTTAAGAGTTTGCTGGGTTGCTCGATTCCAGCTTTGGATTTAATCAAGGAAATCCATTGAGGTAAACATAAAGCAAATAAAAACGAAACCCAACAACAATGAGATTATTTGGGATTTTTCTTTAAGAATTTGCTGGTGATTTGCCAAAGAAGGTGATTTGGGTCTTTAAGAGTTTGCTGGTGATTTGCCAAAGAAGGTGATTTGGGAGTTACTCATGAGATCGAGCATTGGAAGTGTCGATAATACGTGAGGAATTTTAATTTAGTTTTTATATTTACCAAAATAAAATAAATAAGAAATAAAATGAAAAAGGGTTATATTGGCGGGTTTAGCAAAATTTTGGGGGGAAAACGAGGTGGGAACAAAATACCCGTTCCCATATTAGAAAACTTTCTAGAATCGTTACTACAAATAGGCCTATTGGGACGGTTCATACAACCGTTCCTATAAAAAAGACCTATGGTAACGGTTAAGTGTCAACTGGAACGGTTTCGTATCTAAAGTGTGCTGATTTTATCCAAATTCTATTGTAACGGTTGTAACCGTTACCGTATCTACTCTATTGCCACGGTTTAGTAACCGTTGCCAAAAAAATCGTTCCAATAGGTCTATTTTCTGGTAGTGGTGTGACCACGCACTTCATCTGACTCAGCAAAATAAATGACACATACGCTTGGTCAACGGTCAGAATAGTTTAAAATATAAGTTTTGATCAAGTAGAAATGTCTGGATGAAAACAAATGAAGTAGAGGGACCGGCATGACAAAGTGGCACAAGTATAGGTGTCATTTAGACCATTTTGCCTATATTTAATTATGCACAAGGTTTTAATAACTTATTTATTTCTCCCTAATATTCCTGATAGTATGGCTGGTTTACTGACTAATACTGATCATATATCACATCGTTTACATATGCATCGTTCAAGTCATAAATGAAATTATTGATGGCTCTAAATTATCAAAAAGTATTTAATTTTTTATAGTCTCCAGAATCTGCACGACTAAGTGTAGTTGTTTGAAAAGAAAGAGAAAATGGACCTTTTTGCACTACTAACTATTCATTTTTTCTTTTGTGATTTATACTTTTTTGTGGTTTTGTTTTGTGATTTGCCTCGTAGCCACTGAGGTGTTCCTACAAAATTATAAGATGCTATCTTCGCCATACAATAAAAATACCACCTAACACTTATGTCAGCGAATATAAGCGTTAGCCATCTTCCTTTTTTTTTTTTGGATAAATATTTTACTTTGTTCTGGAGACAAAAGCAAAAAGACATAAAAACCAGAGTCTAATTAATGTCAAGGAGGTGCAATTCCCATTTTGCCACGGTACAAATAATAATGGAAATAAAGGGATTTGGCGAGAAGTACAGAAAGATATATGCATCAGAGGTGCAAAGTGCAAGAAGTCACCTATATTACATGGTCTTTCTTAGGGGCATACAAAGGAAACCCACAAACCGCATCAATCGGATAATTCGAATCAAACCGGGAAAAAAATCCGACTATGGCTTGGTTTGATTTGGTTTGGTGTTGGAAAAAAAAAACCCAACCATAATTGGTTTGATTTGGTTTTAACTAAAGAAAGTCAAACCGAAACCAAACCAACCCGATATTACATATATAGAAATTTTAAATATATTTAATATATAAATATACTTATTGTGATGTAATTTATAAATATTTCTTAAGTTTTTTCATATTTTTATCTTTTAAGGTATTATTGCAAGGTTGGACTTAGAACTTTTGAATGTTCCAATAAGTTTTATAGCCATTAATATTAATAAATTAAATAATGCTAGCAAAAGCCCAAACCAAAATTAAATCAATATTGATGCTAACAAAAGACATTCAATTCAATACTACGACTGAGAATGTATTGAATATCTATTTTTTGCTTTGCAATAATTTAGATAAAAATGCATAACCTATTTTTTATTTTTCTTTAGCGTTTAGTCATGTAATTAATACTCCCTTATTAGCTACTTATTTTAACATGACTTAGTACTTTTAGATTATGTTTATTTTATTATGGCTTTTTAATTAGCAATATTTATATTATATAATTTTATTGTCTTTATTGTTGAATATTTTAGAAAAATGCCACGACACATCTCATATTTTGTATTATTTTCTTGGAAAATACTTTATATATTTGTATCTTACTAGGATTAAAGAAATATTTTGAGCACAAGTTATGTGTTTTGTTCTATGAAGATTTTACCGGAAAAAACCCGAAAAAACCCGAAAACCCGAAAAAGCCCTGAAAAAGCCGAGTTTTATTGGTTTGGTTTGGTATTTAGATTTAATAACCCGACACAATTGGTTTGATTTGGTAATTATAAAATCCGAACCAACCCTATGTACACCCCTAGTCTTTCTTAATTTTTTCTTAAAATTGTAAAAGTTAGTAATAGTTTGATGCCATATTATTTAAACTAAGGGGTCGTTGGTTGGACAGAAGTTATCCCAGGATTAATTATCCAAGGATTAGTTATCCCGGAATTAGTTATTTCACCTTCCATGAGGATAAAAAAATACTACAATCCTGAGATTATTTATACCGCAATTTTCTCCCAACCAAATATGAGATAAATGATGGATTATTATATGCAGCGGAAGCAATCCCAGTATCAAAATCACATGTAATCTAGACAACTAGTGTATGCGGGGTTTCACGGGTTACCTCTTGAAGCGTGAACAAAAACTCATTTATCACGTGAGCCTTCAATTCCATAGCAACTTAATGAATTCTCCACCACCCGCACGATCACGATCTCCGAACGTTCCACGCTCTTCTACTGTGTTACCTAAATAATACCCGAAAATAGTAATTTCGTGTGGGCAAATTTTCTAGGAAAAAGGGCTGAAAATTTCTGCCACTATGACTACTACCTCTAGGTGGAAAACCTCATGTATTTGTAGCACAAGTTTTAAGGGTTAAAACCCTTTTCCAAAACCTGTTAGGTTTTCCTTTCCACCAGAAAAAGGATTCCTTTATTTCCTATTATTTAGGCACAGCAGGGATCATGGAATTTAATTAACAAGGCTCCAATTATGGAATTAATTTCTAATTTTTGAAATTAATATCCACCACAATTAATTACGAATTATTCCACTAAAAATTCGTAATTGCGCTCCTTATTCAATTTCAAAATTCATCCATTAAATCTTATTTAACTCCCCATGTTAAGATTCAGATAGTAATCAATTAAATTAAATTACTGACGATTTAATTTATTGATTATTTCCTTTAGACTTTCGCATAACTTATTTCATGTGTCGGATACAAAATCTACCGGCCGGGTTTACACATGAAAACTTATAAGCTTTCACAAAGGTGTATCATCAATCTCTAAACCGA